GTCTTTACGATAATCCGCGAATCGGGAACACAGTCTGATGAGCATTCTGTCTACCCACCGGAGAACGTCTGGGCCGTCGTCAACATCGGCTTTGAAAACCGCAATACGAGCCATGAGGACTGCGGCCGTCTCCTGATCGAAAGATTGTGCGAGGGATGGGTCGCCTGTGGAGCCACTGAAGTCACGGCCAATAGTAGTCACTCGGAGGTGGAATTGTCCGGATGAATGTTGATAGTAGGTAAGAAACTGAATAAGACCCTTTTGAGAACCCTGCTGTTGCTGGGCAGGTCCTGCTTGAGAGGCAATTTCGTAGTAAGTTGCGACGGAGGTGCTGGGATTGATGCCGCACATCTTCCATGAGCAAGTGTTACCGATTCCAACTTCGGTTTCACCAACGGAAGTTGATTTCTTATTCATAGAGACAGCATGGCCAATCAACCCTGTAACCTTAAGCTCTTTCGTAGTCAAAACTTCCATCGAAGCGTTGAATCCCATGAGGAGATTGTCGTTGGCATCCTTGTCAAATATCTTGACAAAACTTTGCCTAAACATAGACGAAGTAAAACTGTCGGTAAGGATCATGTGGCCGCCAGTGTTATTAGCGAGTGACTTCATTTCTAACAAACCAACTTGATCCAAACAACCCGCGAAGATATCCACGATATGCCCATTATGCGCAACCCTTTTAGCCATGTTCTCATAAAACTAGATCGAAACATATTAGTATACATATTAGCCAATCTTATCCTCGAGAAACACGCACCTTTGTAGCCTTCTTATAGTACTTGATGTTATCTCTTTCAATATCATGATGAGACCGGATGGGTTCCCTAAGTTCGGGCCCAACTACAAGACCTGGACCCTCTGTTCCAGGTCCACCAGCAAACAGCATAATCCTTGCACCGGTATTTCCAAACGAGGTCTCCAATAAACCTACAGCAACACTCAAGGCCACGCCTGTACATCTCAGAGGACGCTTGTCGTTGGCGACTGGCCAAGGGTCTTTTTGGAGCTGCTCAAGGACATTGGTCAATTGGAACTCGCATTGCTGGACGGGCAGAAGGAATCTCGAGGATGGTGGCATGTGAGGTGCCACTGGACGGCCGGGTGCCATAGGTTGTTGCTGGGGGCGAAGACCAGCAGCAAGAAGTCCAAGCATTTCCTGGACCTGCTTTGCGGTGTAGTCCTTATTTCCACGGAACACATAGGACTTGGCACACTCGGTGTAGCCAAGTTCGTGGACGTGAGTCTAATAGGATTTAGTTTTAAATAGATTATCAAAGAGTTTTAATAATGTGTTACCATAGTTCCATAAGTAATCAATCCCACCAACGCATGCGGAGGTAACAAACTCAAGCTCACAATCAGTGATTCCTTGAGAGTCTTCAGAGAATCCTCCTCTTGGCAGGTGTCAACAACAAACAAGAAGATGGGTGGTGCTGATGCTGGACGAGCAAGCTTATACTCAATGGTCGAGAACGCAGGAGAAAGCTCAAGTGGCCATGAGTTGGGTCCAATATCCTTGTAATGGGGCGGAAGCTGGTTCCTCTGCAGACAGAAAGGACAGATCCAAAGCTTTGCGCGAGCATCAACTTGACTATTATGATATATTTAGCTTGATCTAAACTTTGCGTTGGATATAAAGAACTATACCAGTAAGGGTTGAGAACAGCCCGGCAAGGGTTCTTGCAGGTTACTGGTTCGTACTGGACCGGAGGTTGTTCTTTCACCTTCAGAGGAGTGTAGAGAACACCGATTGGAACAACAAGTCGACTCGATTCCAGACGGTTACTGGGAAAGACGTTCCAACTATAATCATAGATGTCAGTTTAACGTAGCCATCACAAATTAGTATAAACAAGTTGTATACCTCAAACGAACGCCATCCTTTTCTTCCTCCGTTACCCAGGCGTCTTTCAACTGTTCCATGTCCATGATTTCAGACCTTTAGTAGGCAACTGGCGCAGTTTTTATAGTTAGGTAAGGGCGAGATAGATAATCTCGCAGATTGAAAAGCTGTATTTGTGAAAGGTTCGACACCGCCTGGAGCAGTAGCAGCGGTGATAGTAGTGTAGTGGGGGGAAAGTGACAAGAGAATGGGATGAAGGTGTGGAGGAGGGATGTGGCTGCAATTTAGGCCAGATCGCTCACTTCGAGGATTGAGTTGTGGCGCAGCACACCAGAGCTTATATGTGGCTGTGGAGGCTCTTGCCGCAGATGCATTGATATCGATACTAATTGATATTATTACCAAATCATTTATTAGATTACTAAAATCGCCTTCGAATTCATGGGGTATTGGTATTGTAAATGGTTTAGAGGATTCCAGTTCTGGGCACCTTGGAGATTTTTATGCACGAGTGATAGCTAATGATCAAAACTACTAAAGCTCTAAGCCCAGAAATGGAATGAATTTATCTATGTTTCCTGTGACATACAAGGGGCTGCTGCCTGTGTTCATATCATGCTCTAGAGCTTGGACAAACTGGCAACCTTTTCGTCGAAAAGCTTTTCGGCTTCCTGCCACACTCTGGTGGTACTCCTGTCTTTCAGAGTCAACAAGCTTGGGAGTAAGTCATTGCTGAATGCCTCACTTGCCTCACGAGGGAGGAGAGTTGGCAAGTGATCAATTGAGATGACAGAAAGTGGAGGCTCCCCGTTAACTTCGACTGGTACGGTAGGCTTGTCGAAGGTTGTGTTGATAGAGTAGATAGGGATAGGGTTATGAGGATTGGTGGTGTCGCAGCTGACGTCGACAACAACCGACAGCTTACGGTTGGGATTTTCTAGGGACTCCTTGTTGACAAAGTGAGGGATCGGTGTATTGAGGTAGATGCAGTTCACGAAAATGTCGGCTTTCCAAAATCAGACTTCTATTATAACATATATTGAAAGAGGCTTGACTTACACTCAACAATCTCCACGAAAGGACCTCCCTTAGCAGTTTCGGCCATGTCCCACTTCAAGACATTCTCAGTAGGGATACCAGCCTTAAGGCATAAGTCGACGGCACCTCTCCCACATCTTCCGAGCGCGCCAATGACTAACACTCTGGGTTGCCTTCCGCTCTTCTTGGCTATTTTACAGTTTTTGTCAATAACGCTTCCGTTTGAAAGGAAGGAAAATCGACTCACCACCCTCAGCTACAAGTTCCTTGACATATTTGATCAATGCATCCTCGTTAGGGTATGGTTTGACATCCCTAATCTCCTCACCAGGGTTCAACAACTGCTTGGCCCAAACTTCAACTCCGAGAGCAGCTCCGGCGAAACCAGCATGATATCCAAAGGCTGCGACACGGCGGCCCGACTCGTCCTGAAGGAACTCCAGGTCGAGCAAGGTCCCGTTACCGGCTGGGAAACGAGAGAGAACATCTCTCCAGCCACCCTGGTTCTTGTAGCAGTGCGCGAACTGGACATGGGTGTGCTTGAGAGGGACTGTCCGGTTATGAGAATAATGATCAAGGAAACTTAAAAGAACGAATAGCTTACAATCATCCTCAGGCAACTCCTTCAATCCGATGATGATGTGATCCGCAGGTGCCTCTACTCATTCGTTAGTTGCTCACTCGCGGCGAAAAAGAAGTTCAAGATTACCAGTCCATGAGCCCTCCGGAAGTAGCGTGCACCCGACCCTATGCTCAATTAGTCCTACTATTTCGATGAAATCTACGCGGGGTCATACTTCTCGAACTCCTCGTCCTCAAAGATCCTCTGCACGCTGCGCTCAACATTGACTTCATAGCCAGCATCCAACAACGCTTTCGCGGTAGTAGGGGTTACTATTAATATTTCTCAACAGGTGCTCTTCGAATATTCGTTACAGTTTGCAAAAAAGGAGGGGTCGGGACTTACGAGCAGAGCGGTGCTCAAGCGGTTTAGCTATAGATAACACCCCATTGTAAGCTCAAAGCTATGACTCACTGTGAATGCGAGAATCTCGAAATATAAAGGAGGAGAAAATAATGCGTACACTCAGCCCTAAGATGAAGAACAGTTTTTCCTGCCATTGTTATTTATATGGTATCGATGTTGGGTATCTGAATCAAAATCAATGCGCTCAACGAGATGGTTTGGAGGGGCCTTTTGACGGAGGTGGAGGGGGCGGGGCAAGTGCAGGAAGCCGCAACCTAAATAAACCTTTAAAAAAAAGATGCTAGTCCAATTTCAAATTTTTTCTTTGGTCCCTGTCGCTCCTGTCACTCTTCATGTACTTGCTTACCAGCAAAAGAACCAGAAAATGCGGTTGCTCAGGGCAGGGATAATTTGTATGGAGTGGCCCCGTTCTCTCATACAAATAGTCCCTGTTTCCGTCACTTGCATTTTCTGGTTCTTTTGCTGGTAAGCAAGTACTCGCGACAGGCATGAAGTACCCGAATATGCAGCTGCAAGTTTTTGGTGTATTTTTGACTTCTACTCCAATGGAAATTGCAGATTAGGACGTGCATTTTCGGGTACTTGTTACCTGCTGCGAGTACATACTCTATGTACATGACGCAGCTAGAGCAAGCCCCCATCCACCAGTATCCGAGGAGCTCCTTCTCGAACGGCGATGTTCTACATAAACATTGCTCAACTTTCACGATCTAATGTACAGGTGAATCCATATGATTTTAAGTCTGCTTCAAAACCAAATTTCTGAACTCCTAATTCCGGACCTCACTGCCTAAGGACACATCAGGATAATATCCATTCATTCCCGACAACGAGACACAACAACGAGCAGAAGAAAACGAGAGCATAAAGAAAAATATCCCCTCCTTATGGCAGAAGGTACAATAGGAAACGAGATCAAAGATCAATGACAGCTGTATAAAGGACCAAGCCCAAATTCTCAAGCTCACAAAACCATCCTCATCAACCCATGTTTTGGCTATTCGAATAGTTACAAGAGGGTCAATTTCTTGCTCTTTTTCATGACAAAATTATACTTCGTAACTAGCATCACCCCCCCCACCCCCGGGCCACACACACTCTCTCTCGCATCATGCAGTGCACTGATTAGGCCAAGTAACCTGTTATGAAAGTTAGTAATTCGAAATTAAGAAGTGTAAACTTTTAATACAAACATACCTAGACGTTCGCCATCCAACCGCTCCAAGTACTCTTTCTCCAAAAGAATGTCTATACATTTCTTGATATCAGGAATCTTGGGCGTGAATCGGGACTTGATCTGCGCAATTGTTTCCTGGACCAATACAACATGCTTGAGGACTTTTCGGGCCTTCATGATGCGGACGATCGCGGACTATATTTTGTTCTTATTAGCGGCTGCTTTGCATTTTTAGAAACTGGAGTTTCCTCACCTGCATCAGTAGTTTTCGGTCTTCTTCAATAGTCTTGTGTGTCTCTTCAACTTCTTGCTTTTGCTCTGCTCTAACTGCCATATTTAGGTTCACACGAATCTTCTTACTCTTGAAGTCAAAGTTGAGCGCATAAGAACTTCCTGGCCCAACCTTTTTTGCAGGATCCTTAAGAGTCAGAACCTTCGCCTTTAGAAAGACCATCAAAGCTGGCTCTAAGTATTCCTTCGATAAACCAGTAGATTTTTCTATTTCCTCGTGTGAGACCGTCGTAGCATCATTGAACAAAAGAAGCATGGCCATTTGATATGTTGAGACTTGAAAAGTGTAGGGTATCTTAGTCGCCTTGCAATAGCTGGCCTTCAATTCACCCTTGCACAAATGCCATAACCAGGTCAATTTTCTCCCATTGTGCTTTTCGTTATAGAAATTGACAAATCGGGTGTATGTTTGCACGATGACTTCCGGGATATTGAAGGGAGTAGTAGGAGGATTCAAGGGCCAGAATGATGTTCCCAAAACTTGGCATGTGAAATCCACACCACCCGCCGTACTCTCGTTTTTCCCTTCGAGCCACGCCTTGTACGAATCATTCAGATCTTTAGAGATTTGCATGTCTTGGAACATTCGCTGGAGCTTGTTAGTATACTCGAAGCCGCAGGCCTCTTTCAATTTACCGATCATGCTAGTTTCGGCATCATCTGACGCAGAAGTAAAGTTGACCAAACGTTTCGCTAACATCTTGGAATAAAACTTCTGGAACACATCCTTATCCTCAACATATTTGAAGACGGTCATGATAGCAGTAAGTTTATTCTCAAGGTCCGCCTCTTCCGCACTCTTGGCGCTTTTGCGTAGGAGAGAATCCGCATATTTTGCCAGAAGCTCGGGCGACTTTGTGGACGCTGATTTGCAGACCTTATTGCGGTTGACAAACTCGCGACATGCGTTATCCAACGAACGAACAAACTCAGCCTCGCTCTTGAATGCAACATCGACAAGGTTTTTGTATTGTGCATGCACCTCCAAAAGAGCGTCCACATAAATTTTGGGCTCAAGATTATCCCCACCTTCATCAGCAATCTTGTCAACTGCTGACAGACCAGCTCTCCGAACGTGTGCTTCGAATTTTGTACGTAAGGGATCTAGACCATCTGGTATCCGAGAAAGAAGATTGTACATGCGCTGGAGGTCGCTCTGTCGATCATTGTCCAAAAGTACTTGGAACTCTTCCCGTAATAATGAAGCATGCTCTTGAATGAGCACCTTCTGGCATGTTTTCATCAGTGGCTGGAAGATATCAGGATGAAGATACATTTGCACGCGCCCTTCTTCCTCATTTAATCTCGTTTCCGCCTATTTGTGCACTAAATTAGCAATCAGCCCATTTTCAGAGCACCATAATACTGACCTTTTTCATATACTCAACAACGCTGTTTTCCGCAACGAATTGTTTTGATTCCATTTGATAATATAAGGTTGTAGCCTCAAGGAAGGGTTTCTCAAAGAATTTCCTGTAAACATCGAGAGTCGATTTCGAGGAATCGCTTTCATCCAATCCAAGAGAAACAAATGAATCTACAATGCTCTTGACCATTGCTGTTTCAATGGTTTCCCCATTCCGCTGCTTCTCAACAAGCTTCAGTACACCGTCCATTACATGCTTCTGAACGTGGTCGAAAAGATCGCATCTCCAACGGACAAGGTGCAGCTATTGAATGATCGTCAGCTATACATGGATAATCCATCAGTAGAGTGAATCATACTGTGTAAACGTCATAAATATTCTTCTTGCCCTCGTCCATCTCTCTTTTCACCCAGTGTCGGTTTAAGTATCGGAACAGATGGTTGATGTACTTGGCAGCGGTCGTGTATCGGTCCCATTCTCGAATGTAAAATGCCAGAAGGGCCTCGTCTGCGTGACTTTCCGAATCCTAAACCAATAGGTTAGCAAGGCTGTAATTCTGCGCATTAATAAGTCCTATACCCACAGTTTTTAGAGTCCCAAGATGCCTGCTTAGGTACCCAATCAAGTTGTTGTAAAGATCCTCTCCAAGTAGGTGGGCTAAAAATCGATGGTAAATATATCAGTATAATCTGCAGAATAACAAACTGGATGACGACAGACCACCTCGGTGAACAGCTCCGTTGTTTTGTAGAGTCTGCGGACTTGAGTTGACAGCTTTCTGAGATGTACAAAAGTTGTGAACAGCACTAGATATTACTATCAGCGACTAAGCGCCATGTGAGGATTGTATCTGGGATTTCCGTACGTGTAAACGCCCATGTACTGGTAAAACAGTTAGCACAGGGCACAGCTGATAACGATAGTGCAAATAGACAGGAAAGAGGTAAAGCTTACGGTGTTCATGTCTACTCCACTATTGAGATCTTTCATGATCTTTTCGACACCCTCTTCCAGATAAGCCCATCTGAGAGTATGACAATATTTAGCTTCCGCGAAACAGATCCAGGCTGGACAAACTCTCAAAAACTCACGTCTGCACCAAATCTTCTCTATTGGGTGTCTTTGGTTGCATTATGATGAGATGGGCACCAAGCCGTAAACTGGTAGCGTGTTATCGTTTCAAGGTACCAGAGCTGATTTTAGGAAGTAAGTCCGTACTGCGGAGATGGACTAGGCTGAACGGTCGGGGGCGTAATTCTAGAAAGGTGAAGCTTTTGATCTGATGACAGTGAGCTGAAGATAGAGGCGGTGGGGTAACCGTGGAGAGGGGTTGAAGTTGATAGATGGTGAGTCTTGAGTTGAGGAGGGGAGGATGGGGAGAAAAGGTGACGGTAGAGGGGAACTTTCGAAGGGAGGTGTGTGGTGGAGCAGTTCCAGTGGAGGTGTGAGTGAGGCTGGGCAACGCAACAGACAGACGCTTAGTTATGCGGCAGTGGTTTGCTTGCTGTGAATTTCTAGGTATCTGCCCCACCCACTCATATCCCGGCGCGGCTCAACTACAGAACCTACATGTAGATACTGTAAGCTCCCCTCCGAATCAGATTCTGTGTTGCACTCCAACTCCCGGCCCGAGCTCAAGGTCCACCGGAAATCCCGTATGATGATATCAATAGATCCCAGTTACCATTCTTACCCCACAAGCTGCAACTCAGGGTCTACTTACGACGTGGTAGAGGAGTCAGGTTACACAAAAAGAAGCCTGAAACACCACCACCACCGAGTTCTTAAGATTTCTAGATACCTAATCAAGCTTATCTTGATTCTTATTTTGTATGTTGATAAAAGCAACATCCCCAGTAAAAATAAAAATAAATAAGTACGTAAACACCATGATTGCTTGGAAAGATATTATTCTCGGGAATAGTACTAGGATAAGTTTTCGAAATTTTGCAGCCGCTCCCGTTCAAGGATTTGTATGTATGGGACGCCATCAAATCTACAAAACTTGAAGGTAAATTTAAAATTTCAGTATTCTTTGAGTCTATTCTTGACATGGCTGGCTCCCGGCCCGTCGTTGGGCTTTTTTTGGCCATGGTTGTGTGGTTGGTTGGGGTAGCTAAACATTGGTACTTTGGCTATAAAAGGTATAATTTTTAAAAACTTTTGTATTCCGATTTACATACATGTAGTATCGGTGCAATATTCACATTTACTCTGCTCATACGACTAGAGACTATGGTGCCGGTCCTAATAAACCTACAAAAACCATGCCCCAAAATACCTAACGCCAAATCTATCAGACGTACCCCAGCATCTAAGATAGAAAAGTAATTAAAATGACCAATCTGTAGAGCTACAGAATGGTCAGTCCAATTTATCCCTATTTCAAAATCTCGAGGCGGTAAAAATGGGCACTTTAGGTCTAACGACGGATGCCAAAAGCATCTTAAAAACTACGGTTAGGGTGATTTATTCGTTCGGGAACACATAAATCGAGTGAAAAAGTGATTATTCTACTCCTAAAACCACGATATATGTGCAGATAAATCTTGACCAATGGCGGTGACTGTAGGTTTATCACGGCCGGCACCATACATGTATTGACACCTTGTGGTTCCATACACCCAGCGTGCATACGTGCCGGTCATGTACATGTATCTTTTACCTACATAGAGTACATGTATGTATCAATCGTTCTAAGTGCCACATGAAGATATCCAACAATAACCGTCAGGCGTGACACAGAAGCGTAGGCATAAACGGACAGTAACATGTAATTTTTATTGTTAGGAAACATAATGAGCACTTTCATTTAATTGTCAGAGCCGTTTCACAGAGAACCACGTATAATGTAGTCAATTACATCTAGCCCCTACATGTACGCACTGTGGACGAAGCCCCAAGCCACGATGCAACTTCCCACGAGCGAGACTGGCATATGCATGCTAATTGAACATTCTAAAATATTCCACAATAAAACGAACGGACAGGCCAATGGGGCTATAGAAAGTATGTAGAACGAGAGGTGAAATGAACAAGATATAAAGGGACTTAGGAACATAAGAAACAGCATCGGTCTGATTACCAGATTGGACTAATTAGGAACAACACAAGAAACAGATGAGAACTCGCAAGACCGCAATGCCAAAAACCAGAGGGGGAAAAATACCAAATGGATATCCAAAGCAACATACAAAGCAAAATAACATAAAGAGAGAGAGAGAGAGAGAGAGAGAGAGAGAGAGAGAGAGAGAGAGAAGAAAAAACGCCTAGACCAGACTACCTTCCCATACATAACATCCATCCTATCAGAACGGAAAAAAGATAAATATCTTGTACAAATTTTATTGTCCCCATGCGCTACAGAAGAAGAAATTGAAAATATAAAACCCCAGGTTTCGAAAGGGAAAGTAAAGAAAAAAAAGAAAAAACAGTGAGTCATATTGGTACAACTATTACGGTCGGGTATTATTTCCCTTTGATACTCGCTCGACAAGTCTACAGCTATGGTAAGCAAGCATCCTTTTAGGAATGTCTTATGCGGGCTTCAAACCTGAACACACTAACTGTGAACGTAGAGACCCATGCACATAGGGCAAGAAAAATGAATGCTGCAAGAGCTCGTTGCCGATCACATATCGGAGAGACAGTTCGGAGTTCCTTTGATCGCATTAACATTAATACCTAAAGGTCACAGCCGGTTTCGGGGGAAACTTACATTGTCATTACCACCGAAATCAGCGCCCGTTGTCGCGCTTCTACAACTCCATCGCACATCAAAGAGAGTGTCGAAAGCAAGGGAGAGATTTGCGGAATCAAAAATGATAAATAGAAGATCGAGCATGACTGCATATACACAAGCAGGTTAGAAGACCTAGTAATGATCAATCGACATGAAAATATTGGCGTACTCAGTCTCATTTTTGCTTTAGGCGACCGTAGGCCCAAAGGCTTTCCTGAATATTCGTCGTATGTAATGTAAATCAGGTATATTAAAGCGATGACGTCAACCACAATTGCCATAACTGTAGATGGCTTTTGGTCGAATCCATATTGGTTGCTAAGCTGGAAAACACTGGAGGCGAGAGCAAGTGCTAGCAATGATAGTACCCAGATAAGTGCCCGGAAAGTTAAAGGTACTGCCGGGTTGTTTAATAACATAGTCTTGGCGCCCATTAGTACCAATTTCTAACAAAAATAACATCGCTACATGTATGGCGGGACATACATAGATTCGTCTGTACCAAATCCTTCTTCTCTTTGCACTAATCAATAAGCCATCATCAGTGTCATCTGCGGAACCGTCGCCTTGATTTTCGGTATCGGCTTTATGATTCCATGGTTTATCAAAATCGCCCTGTTTAGCTAACCACTGTTCCGGTTCATCTTTTTCTGAATGTGCTGTTGCCGGCGGGTGACCTGTACTAGCTTCGACAAAACCCCTCCATCGGCTTGCGTGCTCAGGTAGTCGGCCCATAGTTATGGGTGTCGTTTCCCGAACGGCATCGTATTGCGAGCGCTCTGGCGGCCGTCGGTGAGCCAAGGGAGGAGCTTCTATTAAATCGTGTTCATCTTCCTCTCGGCTCTGTACCCATGCTACACAGCCCCCGTTAGCATCAGGATGTCCATCCTATAAACGCATTAAAAAACAATCTTACAACGAGAGGGGAGCCAACTTGGTAGCGTCCGGACGTTTTTCCATTGCTGAGAGTCACCCATGCCCCTGTCTGGTATGGTGTTTACAGGAGAGCTGATAGATCGCGAAGATATTGAATTTACGGACGAGGTAGGCCGGGCTGTAGATGTTCCTCCGCCTATTCCGATAGTAAGAGGAGGAGGAGCTGACGGACCATCCTGACGTTGGGACGAAGAAGGACGATGCTGTAGGTGCAGATTATTGTTCAACGAAGACGAGGCCACTACGTCTTGGGTATGGTGTAGCTGCTCATTGGTAGATGAATGGATGGCAGCCATGTGCGCAAGGTGCGTGGGATGTAATGGGGTGGTGGAAGGAGTGGATTGGACAAAGATCGACCGATAGCAATAAGGCGAAGCAATGCTGGCTGCTAATGGGGGATGCGACGCCGGGAAGGGCTTCTTTCTTTTTCTTGTGGCGAGAGAAGGGAGGGAAGAGCCTGCGGATTGTGTGCTGTAATTTGTATGATACGTTATGTATGTACTCCGTCTTCTGTTTTTTCCTGTGCCTACTCTATGTACATACACTACCTAGATATTTTTTGTTGTGGGAGCACTGAGTGAACTGGGGTTGAGTGGAGGGGGCAACTACGTGTGCCGGAGCGACGATTCACAACTTTCGTTCGAAAGTTGGAAGAAACGATGGTTGCTAGAAGGTAGTAAGCCTCCAGTTTGCATACGGATAGAAGGGAGTCGATTGGATGCTGATGAGTATTGCCGAGTGATTGGGACAGTCAGCAAAGCGAGCGACTTGCAAGCTGCTGCACAGGCAACTTGCAAGCAAGTACCCTAGGCGGTAGGTGATAGGCAGTTGACGCACAAGAGGAATGGTTGGTGGTTGGACACCGTGAATCCTAACAATCTTTTCTCCTCCTCCTGCTGTTTTTCTCTCTCTCTGGTTTTCCAAGGAATAGAAGGGATGGGTCCCAGGTTGAAACAGGATTGAAGGAACGCGTTCCGAGTTCAAATCAGTGTGGCTCGAGCCGCGCTAGGAGCCTTGGAAGCGACATAGGAAAATACTACATGCAGTTGGTACGTAACTAGAGTACATGGTACATACATAAGCTAGTTGAAGAAGGAAATGAGCGTGGCTTAGACTGTATGGCACCTCAGCTGGGCTGTCATGTAGGTACAAATCATCTATCCCTGATAAGTGACACCCTTACGGGCCTTGCCAATTGCCACACCTCCGGGTTCAGCTGCGTTACACACTCACAGCCTTGAACTAATCTATTCTAGGTCTAGTAGCCAGCCATGGTTATCCCAAACATTTTTCCCACGTTGCACAGCCACAGCCACACGCAAACCAGGTACATACTTGGATGACGTTACTCTTTCTTTTGCCCGCTCAACTTTATTCGTACCTCACCTCCGCTGTATTCCTAGAGCCAGAAAGCGATAAGGTTAGTAATTGGCAAGGGACAGGAAAAAAGGAAA